ATGGGATGTTATGCAGCCAGAGAGAAGAATAAGATATTTGTTCACTTATTTGTATTAATTCATTTATTTTATTCATGTAATAAATATACATTGAGTAACTACTGCTCTGTAGACGCTGTAGGCTCTAGAATTTTATAACAGGTAGGATACTTAGTTTTATTCTGCTTTGTGATTTCTGTACATATTATATCTACCCCAATATACTGGAAATTCATTGAGGGTAGAAAATATGGTTAGATATATTGCATTTCCCCAAAAACTAGAATAATGCCTTTTAGATAGTGAAGAATCATTATAAATCAGTTGAGTTAATAAGTGTGTAAAAAATTGTATGATATTGTCCTATCTTATAAATTTCTCAGATTTAATTTTTTTAGTAATAGAGTTTTTAAAAACTGTGATCACAGGGGTGTATAATGTTAAGCTCTTTATAAAATCAACCACAACACCTTAGATAGATTAAAATAGATATAATATGTTTATTTAATATAAACTTAATTTGTCTTCTCAAAGGGTTAATATTTTCTACATGTACAAATTTTTGGGGACCAATTGGCTTGAAATTGATATTTATTATTCAAACCATTTGTAAAAGATATCTTACGGAATTTCCACTTGGAAAATAGATTATGTTGCCAAAACATACCCAGTATTAATCCCGCAAATCATTTGAAGATTATGAAACACATGGAACAAAATTCTTTTTTAAGTGAAATGATATAGAAGTAATTCTTGGACGCTTTTTCTCAAAGTTCTATACTTCTACCATGTGCTTCAGCCTAGAGAACAACTTTCTATTAATTTCCTTTTGACAACTATTTCACCATTGCCCCTCAAAATCTAATACGGGAGACGAGAATAGTACTTGTGATGAGGTAAGTTAGAATGAAACGAGGCTGTATCAGGCCATTCTTGCGTTGCTAACAAAAAACACCTGGGGCTGGATAAGTGATGAAGAAAAGAGGTTTAACGGGCTCATCGTTCTGCAGGCCATACAGGCATGGCATTTGCACCTGTCCAGCTTCTGGTGCAGCCTCAGAAAGCTTCCACTCTTGGTGAGGCACAGGGAGAACAGGCGGGGTCACATGGCAAGGGCAAGAGCAAGTCCCAGACTTTTAAACAACCAGATCTCATGGGAACTCACCCAGTAAGAACTCACTTATCACCAAGGGGATGGCACTAAACCATTCATGAGTGATCTGCCCTTATGATCCCGTCACCTCCCATCAGACCCCACCTCCAACATCAGAATCCCATTTCCATATGAGATTTGGTGGGGATAAACATCCAAACCATGTCACAGACACTAAGAAAGGCATACATGGACCAATGGAGGAGAGTTCAGATTTGGATGTAGGAGCCAAGAATGGTTATGGAGGAATCTGAACAGAAAAAAAAAAAAAAAAAAAACAGAGTGATGGGAAAGATGCCGAGGAGTGGCAATGGTGGAAACTGGAGAAAGCTAGTGTGAGGCATGCTGGAGCATCTTAGATGTAACCATGAGGAATCTAGCCTTAAGTTATTAGGCAAAGAGATGTTATTGATGATTGGGGACGTCGTGTTGATTTTTTAAACCAACAGAAGGAATTTCACTTCAAAAATATTACTGTGGTATCAGGCTTATTTGAATAAGGAAACACAGAAGGAGATAACTAATTTCCTGCAGTGGTCCAAGAAGAAAGTAATGAAGGCTAATGAGGCCACAATCAGGGAGAGGGGAGGGAAGGAACAAATGCAGAGGGAGAGTAGGAACAGTATCCAGAGCTTTAACTGTTCAGATGGAGGGGATCAACAAAGAAAGCATGCCGTCTCACAAAGAGAAAACAGATTCATACAGAAACCTGACTTTTCACCTATCTTAATTATAGGCTTCAATATAATTATTTTTTAGACTTATCGCACATGTCTTTACAGCACACAGAAAGGAACTAAAATTTCCTTTTAAATTATGCTTTGGACAGTATGAAAATGGTAGGAAACGAAATCTTATTACGTAGAAATAAAAGATATATTTAGAGTAACATAGTTTTGGTAACTATATTAAGCCCCCAAATCTCTGCAACTCTATACATGAACTGATTGGATTATACAATCCTTATCACTGAAGTCAGAATTCAGAAGACAGTCACAACATGGAATTTCACTTGTGGCTCCAAGTTATCTCTCTCTCAATTTATACATGTGATCAGCAACATGTCCTCTATGCTCTGTGTAGGACCAACAGGTATTTTCCTTGCATTTGCTAATATGGAGGGGTGGAGGAGGAGGAACAAGAGGGGGAAGGAGAGAGAAAGAAGGAAAAGAGAAGAGACTGCCTTAATAGGTGAAATACAGAAAAATACTTAGCAGCTAAGACAATGTATTCCTATGTAAAAATTAACACCATCATATTTCTTTGCTTTTCCTTTGGATTTTATCTTTTAACGGTTAATATCTTTCCTAAATGATTTGGCTCAAATAAAAATACTTTTACTGCTGTTATAGTATAACTTGAAAGTAATAAATTACCAAAAATTACATCAAAGTGTGAAGAAGAAAAGAAGATTCACACATCATCCACCACTCAGAGATAATCAGATAATCAATGTTAAAATTTTATTTATCTCTCTGAACACTTTCCACTGTGCATCTTTTTAAAATAAAAATTAGGTTCTCTTTCTTTATTTCTCCTTCTATTTTTGTGTGTCCTTCTTTATTTTTGATATGATACCTACTGTGATCTCCTCCTCTTCCTGTACCTCTTCACTTCCCTTCCCAAACCAGTCAGTCCTATAATCTTTAGGAGGAGTGCAGCAGAGTAAGTGTCTGTGCTGGGTAAGATGCGCAAAGGAGCTGTGGCAGTCCAGAATGCGGGAGCCCAAAAGGGAGTGAAAGGTCTATGTAGGAGGACTGCCTGCACAGAATTAGAACTCAAGTGGGCCGAAGAGGGTGTCCATGGGAGGAACAGCCTGGGCTAGGGGTTACAGGTGAGGAATGTATCCATGCAAAGGAGTGACCCAGGATAGAGAGGGAGAGGCCAAGCCAGGTGAAGAGGATGCCCCCACCCAGAGCAGCAGCCTAACCTAGTACCAGCCCAAGGGAGGCACTATGGTTTCATTGTATTCCATGAAGTTCATGTGTTAGAAACTTAATCCTCAATACAACAGAGATGAGAGGTGGGACTTTTAAGAGGGCAGAGCCCTCAGGAATGGATTAATGCTGTTATGAGTAGGTTAGTTACCCTGGGAGTGGGTTTCTAATAAAAATATGAATTTGGCCCCCTTTCTCTTTCCCTCTCTCTCTCTCCCTCTCTCTCTCTTCCCCCCACCCCAAACTTCTGCCTTCCCTTATGGGATGATACAGCAAGAAGGCCCTCACCAGATGCAGGCCTCTCCATCCTGGACTTTCCAGCCTCCAGAACTGTAAGAAATAAATCTCTATTCTTGATAAATTACTCAGTCTCGGACACTCTGTTATAGCAGCACAAAACAGACTAAGACCGGAGATAAGGATGGTGTCCCTCCATAGGAGGGTAGCAGAGGCCAAACTGCAAAAGGACAGCACCCTTGTGGGGTGTGGCCCAGCATGGGAGATACCAGCTCATGTAGGCTCTGAGGTGAGGAGGGTATATGCAAAGAATGCTTCCAGGTGTGGAAACATTAAAGTTATTAGATTATTTAAGGAGAACTGGCATCTTTCTCAATTGAATTTTCCAACCAAGAAATTGTATGTTTCTCTATTTTTAAAATCTTACATCCTTCAATATAGTAACACTTTATTCTCTCATATTGTTTACTCTTAGATGTTTAATGTTTTTGTTGCTATTGCTAATTATATCCTTTTCACATTATATTCTCTTTTTTGGTATACAGAAAGTCTTTTCAGTATAACACTTACTTATAATTAATTACCTAAGTGAACTGTATTATTAGTCTATTAGTTCTATTAATTTTCAGTTGATCTTCTTGGGTTACAGCTGCCTTTCAATGTATTCAAATAAGAACTGGGGCTGTCACTAACTTTAGTTGATATAAAATAACCTAAGTTAAATTACAAACAGGAAGAAACGACTAAAAACATTTTAAATGGTCATTAATTAGTGAAGTCATTTATTCATTTATCACATATTTATTGAGCTATACAATAACCCTGGCCAAATTACATAGCCTATAAAACTCTCTGTTTTCTCAACTATAAAATGTAAATAATTAAAGAACCTATATAAAGATTAAATGAGATAATGCATATAAATTGCTGGCATTACACATGGTAAGTACTCAATAAATGTTAACAGCAATGATGACTGATCATGAAATACTGCCTTTCCCAATGCCTGCGGAGCCACCATTTGTTGAGAGAATGATCAAGTTCTTCCTTTTTTTGTTCAGTACAGCCAAGTCTGTATCTCTTCTCTCCTCTCCCCTCTACCACTGAGAGTGGCCCAAATAACTTATTAACTTTCTCTCTCCCTCTGCCATACATACACACCCACCCTCCTCCACAAAGAAGAATCTATGAGAAACTCTTCTAAAATCTACTTACCCACCTTTAGTTGTAATTCCCTTGCCTTAAATTTCACTTGTAATTTCTGAAGGCTTCTATATATAATAGGTCCTCATTAAATATTGATGGACTTCAGACGAAATTGGAAAACTACAAGACCCTCAAAAAGTCCTATGTCATATGAAGGTATTAGTAAATAAGGCCACTCGATAGACGAGACAATTCCATAATGAAATCTGAGGTAGCAATTAACTAAAATCCTGTAAAATCTGACTGAGCCATATTAAAGTTCCATATGCAATATTAAATTTAAGATTTTTAATATGATGATTATATCCTCCTCCCAAGAAGTATGTAACATTTGGAATCATATGCTGGTGGCTGCTTTTCAATTTAACAGAAACATATCTGTTTTCTTATTAAGTTGTACATTGGGAAGCTGCTTGTGTTGCCGGTTAGCCAAAAACCTAATTTCTTCAAGAAATGTAAAAATAAGTAAAACCTAACTCATGACTTACCCACTTCAGCCAAAGTTCTGATACAGGATTCCACGGAGGCTTTCTGTGCCGGGTTTGGCCAGGTGCAATTATAAATTCTGAAGGCAGATTGCAGTAGCTGAATAAAAACTGGCTGATGTGTCTAAAACCAAAAAGGAAGTAGGCAAATAGCACTGCTAAACCATTAACACCCCTGATGTAGTATTTATGCATTATCAGAAACATTCACCGAAATAAAATACAATACAATCTTTCAAGTTTCAGTACTAGTTAATAAATATCTTATTCAACACACATTTATTAGGTACTCTCTTCATGAGAGGCAACATGCTACACACTATAGAAAATTGACTATTTGCATTTTAATTATATTCTTAATCAGAAAAATATGCCATTTATTGAAGGCAATGACATGAATATCTTTAATAATCCATGGTTTCTTCTCAAGTGCAAATGAGCAAGTGTTTCTGGGTTGTTTGGTTGGTTTCATATGATGGGCAAGTAGAGGAGACGACCATTTTGAACTACAGAAACAATTTCCTACGGTTCTATCTAACAGTTTAAAATTTTTCCCTAAAAAAAGTATAATTGAAATGATATTTTTATAAGAGTAATACACAATCACTGTAGAATAGTTAGGAACCATAGAAATGAAAATCATTGAGAATCCTACAACATAGAGACACAGTGTCAACATTTTGAAGATATTTACTTCCTGAGTTTTTTGACGCATGTATGTTTGTATATTCCTTATGCAAATAAATTTGGATAATACTACAATGGAATTCAGTGGCCTAATATTACTTCATGTTTATTTTCTTGGTCATCAGTTTTCCCCTTAAAACATGATTTTTAATTGCTATATAATAAACCATCCGACAGATATATCATAATTTATTTAGCTTTTCCTCCTTTTATTGATATTTAATTGATTAAATTTTTAGTATTATAAATACTTGGATTAAAATTTTATTATATAAACCTTTGCTAATTCTTTCTGGATAAGTTACTAAAGTAAAACTATAGGGGAAAATGTCTATTGTTTAAAAAATTAATTATGCACTTATTTCAACACTTAGCAAACAATCAACATACAGATATGAAAGTTCTTACTCTGCTTAGAGAAAGAGGAAAAATAATTCAATTTAAAGATGGGGTCTCTTTATTTTAAATGAAGTTTAGTAAACTCAGAAAAAGGCATAATAGTAAATAACATAAGAAAAGAATAAATATTGGAAGTATGGGAAATGACTTCCTGACCAGAAAAGAATTTCTCCTACTCAAATAAGAGAAAGTATTCACAACAAAATGCTTTTGCATTTGTTTAACTTACCTGGAGGCTAGTACTGTTGTCTGAAAAGGGAGAATTAAAGAAGCCGCTTACAATATTCATTATTGACTCAGTAACACACTTTTCCAAAAAGATGTCTGCATGTTTCCTGTCTGTGGTTGTATTGCAAACCTGCACAGAAAACAAAACAGCCCAATATGTTTTATCCTATTTTTAAACCACAACTCAGTATTGGAACTATCTAAAAATTGTCCTGAAATAGTTGTCAATAACATTTCTTCTGCTTTTTAAAGTCACTTAGAAGAGAAGCATTTCAGCCTGAAATCATGAAAACTGTACCATCCTTCAGTAGCTTCTCCTTCAAGTTAGCTTGTCATTTCACCCTTGGATCAGAATTCTTTCACAGACCCCCAGCCTCTTCTTCCTAATTTGCATCTCCCTTCTCTTGCACACCAACCTCTCCCTCAGTCTCCAAGCTTGGCTTTACTGAGAAACACTTTTCCACTCATTATAAAAAGACCAAAGATGAAACAGTCATTTTAAGTATAAGAAAGGTAATTAATGGTAGTTAGTAACTCCAAACATTTTCACGCCTAACCCTGGCTCAAATTGGAGGACACAAACACAGAAAGCATCTGGAGAGGAAAACAGAAAGGTAGGAAAAGATAAATCAAACCCCTCCCAATAATGTTGACATTTTTCAGCCACGGAGTATCTGAGAAGCAGGGAAGTGTATGTTTGCATGCATTCTTCTCACAGTGGACTCAGCCAGAGACAATACTGGAGCTGAAGAAAGATCAGGAAAGAGTAGCCCTGGTTCCTGCTCTGATCTTTACATCTGATGAAATGAAGCAGAAATTTGTCATTTTGCATTTTGCTGTAAATTTCAATGTCGGCATGAACAAACTGCAAAAGCTAAGATACCTAATTAAAAACACACGAAAAAAAAAGTTGGCTGGTGAAAAGACAGAAAAACATGGAGATAAAAAGAAAAAGAAGTGGGAGTGGTGAGCAGAGAATGTGAGAAAAGACTGAAAAACTGGAGCAGAGAAAAAAAGTTTAAATTTTCACAAAATTGTGGTGGGTTAATATGGTGGCCAGATGTTCTTAGACAATCCAAATTATTATGTAATTAAAAAAATTTTTCAATATGGTGCTTAACCAAAAGAATAAGTCAATGTAACTTAATCTGATATTCTTTTAAAAGCTTTCACACAAATTCATAAAAGAGAAGATTTTCCTTCTCAAACCATGTGTCCCGGGGATTTTGTTTGGGATCTGGGAGCACTAATACCAGCATTTGCCAAATGGAGGTGGGAAAAAGAGAACAGGGGTTGTTTTGAATCTAAGTCACTTCTCATATGATCAGGTCACTTTTTCCTTAGCTATTAAATGACCCCTACCTGACTTAGTTTTTAAAGATTTTTAATGTGTCTAATTTCATAAGGTAATTGCAGGCACAGTGCAATTAATGCAAATAAATTATGTCAAATTATGTAATATGCTAGTTATTGTTCCAGCATATAACATAGTGCCCGGCACACACAGGGTGTTCAACAAATGTTTGTGAAATGAATGAATAATTTAGTCAATTTTTACATGAAAGAAGGATTAAGGACTCTTGTTTTAGGTTAAATTTAGGTTGGGCTATATTCCTGAAACATCTAACCTAGGATTAAAATTTAATTTAATTTACATGGTCCCAGATCTAATATAATATAAAATTGATCTTCCTATGATGGATAAGAGTTAGGATTTGCTTCTTTTAGAATCTTCCTAATACTGGCTTTACAGTGAACCTTTCTGATACATAAGCTAAAAATATACCAAAGTTGAAGAGGTAGCAGACCAATTCCATCACAACACAAACAAATGACCTCACTCATTCTGTGGCACTTCATGCAATTGTGTGGGGCTCTCTGGAGTCATTAGAATATACCACACTGCATTTCCTGCAGCTGGATACTTGCCAAAATATCACCCAGAAATTTGCTTTTTAGTCAGTAGATTCGTTAAAGTAATCTATTTCTGGATAAAGACTTTCTTCGATATCCCAGATTATGAAAAGTCTGTTTTACAAAGCTATGTGGAACCTATTCCGCATTTCATTTAAACAAGAAATTCAAATAATTTTTCAAGGTTTTTTTCCTGTCCCCTATGAACGACAACATTTTCATTCTATACTATAATATCATGGAGAGCGAAGAAATATAGGAAGCCACTTATTAAAAGCTTTTAAAATTTTTTGGGAAAAAAGAACCTCATAAATGTGAATTTTTAAATTTTCCTTTATTTTTATTTATTGTCTCTTTACAATAAAGATTAGACATGGCTCAAAATTACATCATATCAAATGATCTTTTATGTGTAATACATAGTTTAAAAGTTTTAATCCATTTGCACATATTATTCACATAACATTCTTTCCTATAAAACACTTTCATGTACTGCCATTATCTAAATACTTATTTTAAAAGGCTATATTTATTCCATCATTCTAATGCACCATCATGCTTTAATCCATTTTTGGAATGAGTTGAGGTACACATTACCAATATTACAAACCATTTTCTTATTTTCTTAGTTATTTCCTTCTTGCTCATCTTTTATGATGTGAATTTTTTTTTCTATTATAAAGAATTGTGCAAAATTACTGTTTTTACTTTCAGACTTTTTTGGCATATTTCACCGAAAGAGGAAGCACCAGATGAGGGTATGTAGACAGTTTTATATTGCTTGCTGGGCTGATCCTCTAAAATAATAAATATACAATGCTATCAACAAACTCTCCGCAGATACACAGGATATCTCCACATTACCACCAAATAACTTTTCTCTTTAGGGCTCTGGTTGTATTCAGCTAATGCAAGGCTCTTGCAGGAGATCAGACTGGAAGAGAAAGAAGTCAGACACCCACTCTACCTCTGCTTCCATCCCCATCTCCCTCTCCATGTAGGGGCTTCTGTGTTCTCTCGATACAGCGCCTACCAAAGCCCTATCTCCATGTCTCCAAGCTTTCCCCAGGATCTAGTAATAATGTCTGCCCCATGTGCCTTCAGGTCTAGAGGTGGTAAAATTCCTCAGTACTCTCCTATCCCTTCTTGCTAAATTTACTCTCGTTTCTTGATTTGTGCTATGTGTTTCCTACTAGGATTGATTGCTATATCAGTAAATTATAATTTTTTATCAATTTAATTATATCTAAAAGTTATTTTTCATTTCTCTCGCTGTTAACAAGGTTAGCCACTTTTCACAGAATCATTTCATTTCTATCTTCTGTCGTACACAAACAATTCAAGCCCTGTAAACCATTTCCCAAAAACCTAATGACTGCACATTTAGTATAAGCTTAACATGTTTTTATGAGCTCTTTTCAGTTGTCCTATCATACGTATCTTTGCATTCTATTTAGACTATTTCATTACATTTCATTGTGTAAACTACTTTTTAACATTCAGGCACTGTTATTTATTTTAATCATTACTATTTACTAATATTTAACATAAAGAAGGAAAAATCACCCTCTTAAAAAGAATAGTCTATTTTTATTCTAGTTTTTAACTCTTTAAAATAGCTGCAATTTTCGCTGTAGGTGACCTAATTTATGAATTCTGATTAATTTTTCTCCATACTGATATTCAAATGTCCTCAAAACATTTATTAAATATTAATTCCTGCTTCATTCCTAGGTTACTTGAGGTCTGTCTAGTAGTGTATTACTAATGACTACCTAAATCTCTCCCCAAATCTCTAATATACTCCATGGATTTTTAAAAAATATTTTAAACTAACTCCACAGAATGAAATGATTCCCTATCCATAATATGTTTTACAACTTGAAACAACCAAGTCCACCATCATTGTCTTTTCCAAGAAAAAAAAATCCATCTTTTTAAATATTTGTCTTCTACTTCCAGATGATTTTTACTATATATTTGTCAGATTTCATGGCCTATCACATAAGGACACAAATTATTAAACTGAAGCTACATATTGGAGTAGAAGTTAGAACAATGAATCAAACAAAACAATGTCCCTACTCTATTAGAGCCTTTATCCTAATCAAGAGAGACACATAATAGACAAATTAATAAATATATAACCTGAGTGATTTTAAAAAAGAAAAATAAAGAAAATTACAGACTAGAGAAAAATAAATCAAGCCAAGTGGCACAGGGAATGCAGCAGGCTGGGTGGGGATGGTCAAGGATTCCTGTTTATTTAAACAGCCTGGGTGGTATCTCTGCATAAGGCAACATTTCACAAAGAACTGAAGGAGAGAGCAGGCATCAACATTTCTAGGGGAAGAGCAGATAAGAAGTTTCCTCTCCCATTATGTTCCTGGACACCAGGAACAAGTCTGTCTTGCTCACCACTGGACACGTAGCACCTCAGCACATAACAGACACTCTAAAATTACTTGTTGGACAAGCAGATATTAAGTGAAGTTTCTAGATACAATTATGTCTGAATTTCTCCCCTGAGAATTTTGTCTGAACTCTCAAAAAGAATTTTTAATAATGTGAGAAATGCTTAAGCCTGAAGTATAAAAGGGAAGATGTGAAACAGATAATCTAGAATGATTTCAATTGTGTAAAATATATATGGCAGACCAAAAAGATTAGAAGAAAAAATTCCAACATGTTAATCATAGTCTTATCTGAATTTTAGGATTATACATAATTTTCATTTTTCCATTTTATATTTTCTGTATTTTTCAGAGTTCCTACAGTTAGGGGGAAATAGGGGAGGGACGGCGGGGGGTGGGGAGCTGGGGAGAGATAGCAAGGGGAGAAATGCCAGATGTAGGTAATGGGGAGGAAGGCAGCAAATCACACTGCCACGTGTGTACCTATGCAACAATTTTGCATGTTCTTCACATGTACCCCAAAACCTAAAATGCAATAAAATAAATGGGGAAAAAATAATAATCTCAGTGACTCTAACGTCCATTATATAGATATATCATAATTTATTTGACAATTTCTCAAATATTAAATATTTAGGCTATTTCCTACTGCATATTATCATAAAGGTATGTTGAACTTCTTTGACCATAAATCCTTAATAGCATTTGTTTTGCTATGTTTTTTGAGATGGAATCTCTCTCTGTCACCCAGGATGGAGTGTAGTGGTGCAACCAGCTCACTCCAACCTCTTCCTCAGGTTCA